CTGTAGATTTTATTTTACTTCTATTTTTTGTTTTTTTAATGTAAATATAATTACTTTCATTTGCTTTGGCAACACTGATTGTACCCATCGGTCATGCTAATAAAGCACCCTCAATTGAACTGAATAGCCGCTTCACCACCGGATGAGACCGGTTCACGGAGCCTCCCGCAGCCTCGCTAAACAGACACCAGGAAACCCGCAATACTTAACACCCCGTGTGCCGCAGTCCCTCAAAGCACGACATAAAAAAAAGTATTTTTTTAAGTAAAAAAAAAGTTATCCCCCTGACCCGGGTGAGGGTCTCACGACCTTGAAACGTTAAGGAGAGATGGCGGGGTCCGAGGACATCGCTTGGCGAAACACAGAACCGAGGGCAACCTTAACCCTAACCCTCCCCCCCATTCACCCCGGACCCCCCGAGAAAACTCACCCCAAAAAGTCAAGCTAAAGACGCGGCTCAAATCCATCGCTAATTCCAGCATATGCTCAATCAAACTTCACTCTGTTTCACCACACCCTTCTCTGACGACACTTCCCCTTCTGGTGCCGGCTTTACGTCACGTCGCGTCACGCCACCAGAAGGAGGGGAGTGGACTTGTTTGCGTTTCCAAAAAGAATTGGAGAATTTACCGATGTCTATATGAGTCCTGCAGTTTTGACGGATCATAAAGGTCGATTTTTTTTTTGTCGATTAAGACATCTGGATCTTTAAAAACCAAAACATTCAGTTACTGGAAATTTAACAAAACTCTTTTGGAAGAAGACCACTTTGTAAAGGATGCTAAATTAATCATTAAAAATTGGCATGGAAAGGCATTACAGAACAACTCTTTCGGCAGTTATTGGGAATTTATGAAGTATAAAATTAGGGAGTTAGCTATTAAAAGGAGCACAATCCTAGTTATGTTGAAAAGAAATAAAGAAGATACTCTTATTAAAGATATAATTGAATTAACTCCGATCACTGATTACAGTCAGGAAGAAAAAGAAAAATGGAATCTTTTGCAATTGCAATTAGATCAGATTTATGAAGAAAAAGCTAAAGGTGCCTTTATACGGTCAAGAAGAAAGTGGATGGAAGAAGGGGAAAAAAATACTAAATATTTTTAGAATTTAGAAAAAAGAAGTTTAGAATATAAAACGATTGACAAGTAAAAAATTCATGGCAGTATTACAGATCATC